GACATAGAGATAATGTATGGCATGGTTCGACTGAATGAAGATCACCCTAATTATCAATAAATTCTTTGGAGAGAGCATTCTTCAGCTCCTCTAAAAACCTATAAATTAAAGACTTCACTTATGGATTTCCATCTTCTGCATTTTTAGCAACTCGGTGTTTGAAACAAATTGCTATTAATATGAAACTGTCTTTCCAGAAGCAGCCGTTGCCATTACCAATTCTTTCCATGTAGAAGACTTATTGCATGGAGCAGAATCTGAACCTAAGGCAATTCAATTGTTTAAACAAATATCAGATCTTTTTTAGAAGCTCATTTTAAATTAAGTAAGATTAGAAGCAATGTCGACTCTATGATAACTAGTTTGCTAGGAGAATCCCCCGGGGTGGATCTTGTCTCATTGGGTTCAGACCAATCGGCCAAAATATTAGGACTTTTTTGGCATTCAGGAAATGACACTTTCCATCTAGCCCACAATGTTCTTACACAACCTCTTGCCGACTCCGGCGGTTGGACCAAGAGAAAAGGGTTACATATAATAGCATCGATGTACGACCCTCTGGGTCTAGTCACACTTGTGACAATTAGATTCAATTTTTTTGCAGTTGTTATGGGAACGTAAGCTGGGATGGGATGCCAGTCTACCTCGACAAACAGACAAACTGGAACAAACAGTATAATTCTAACATGGTTCGCTGATGCCTCCCTTAAAGCATATGGCTATTGTATGTATGTAATCAGTAAAAATTCTCAGGAAGTAAGAGCAAGTGCTCTAATAGCATCGAAATCATAGCTTGCGCCTTGAGCTGTCACCACTATCTCTCGTCTTGAATTGTGCGAAGCAGTTTTACTAGCCAAATTCGTGATGCAGATTTCTAAAGCTGTGTCTCTAATTTGTAAGGCCAACTCTGTACATTGCTTTACTAGACAGCACTGTAGTGCTGCAATGGGTACAACATGGTTCTCATAAATCAGATGCCTTCATTTCTAATAGAACTGCTGTAATTGGACAGTGTTCCCAAGTGGAGGGTTGATAACATATTTCTTCTAAAGATAACCCTGCTGATCTCATATCGATCGGGAGTCACTGCTAGAAGTCAGACTTCTACCCTGAGATGATTTCATGGTCCAAAATGGGTGATCCAGCCGTTATCTCAGTGGAACTCTCTCCCTGAGGTCGCTGAAAGTGGTAACGTACAATTACAATTCATTCACTAGCTTTCCTACTACCCCTTGTGCTGAGGAGTCTATCGTATCAGAACTTATCAAAAAGTTCAATTCTTATCACAAGTTGCTGCGGATAACAGCGCATTGCCTTCGATTTATCTATCATTGTAGAAACAGCAACTTATTACTCCCTAAGAAAACTGGCCCTCTTTCTACACCGATGCTCCGAGATGCCCTTCTATTGATGGTGAATGCAGTTCAGCCGTAGTAGACGTTAGTACGTTTTTTAAAATCTCAAAACTTTGACTCGACCAGATGGACAGGAGTTTCTCGTACGCATGCTTTAGGCGCTAGACGTGTACGGATAGACAGTCGGCCAGACAGACACGTTTTGAATAAAACCACTTTTTCGGTATTTGGGGACTCCGAAATGTATTTCCGTCGAAATTTCGGAATCGATTTTCCGCAGCATTACATAACTTTCCCTACACTACGTATAATACTCGTTATATACGTAAGTATACGGAAAAGTAACTAGTGGTGCTGCAGATTGGTACACACTTTCCCATATTAGTTTTATATTTCCTTTGGTCTCGGCTAGCTTTTCGGGGTTGCCACATTCCCTTGCCAGCTGCCGTCTATCGCCGCCCAAAGTACATGTTTTAAAAACTTTCTTAATTTTTCTAACTGTAGATTCGAATTATTACTTAAAAATATTAAAGAAGAGCAACCCCTCGGTCGATATGAAACATTTTATTGAAAAATTTGGAACCGTTTTTAAGAAAATTGTTTTAGCGTTACTCTGAATGCCAAATTTGAACCTCTTTTCACAGAAAACTTGAATTTTCGAAAAACTTCATACGACGTAATTTCAAGCACTTCTAATTACAAATGCAGTAGTGTTTATAAATCGCAGGAAATATCCATAATAAAGTCGTGAGGGATATTTTTAAAAATACATTCGTGTAATTTTCGAAAAAAAATACAGCAAAATGATGCACTGCAGTGACATTAGTTGATGCCCTGAGCTACTTTTCCGGTCTCTGGTTATGGGAATACTGCTTGCAAGTACCAAGGCCACTTTCTTTCCACTGTGTATTGCTTTAGTAGCTTTGTACTACTTTCTTTCCACTGTGCATTACTTTAGATATTCATTACGACAGTGAGTGTGACTGTGGGGTGTTATAAGCAATTGGAAGGAGGGGTTAAATGAAATATCAGTTTCACTTCCTTGAGTGATACCTGCAGCATCGACTAACCCCACTTGTTATCTACGAACAAACATGGGGCAGGGAGTGTTCAAGACCAGTGACAGCTGTCGAGTGCCACTGGGACCCAGATAAGGAGGAAGAGCAGGGAGTCGCGGGAGATACAGGAGGAAGAGACGGTGGAGATGGAGAGGGACGGTCACCGGGAGGCGGAATTTAAAGAACGGGGAGACACAGGAAGAGGAATTACGAAGTAGGCGAAAACGGGATAGGAGAAGGTGTACGAGAGACACGAGAAAGCGGGAGTGATCCAAGAGGAGAAGAAGCAGCACGAGAAGTGTTGAATGGAGAGGAAGATGGACAAGTGGAGAAGATGCAGTATCGCGACAAGAAGGAGGAGGAAGAGAGAAGGAAAATGGATGGGGGAAGGAGAAGCTGGTGATGGAGGCGGGACAGGAGAAAGTTCTTTGTTAGCCAACGCCCACCCTTGACTTGTTAGCCATTTGGTGACGCGCCGACCAGTATAAACGCGCAGGCTATTCCCTCAGCGTGTAGTGATCCGCACGCCCACAATGGTCACGCGCGTAGGTGGCGAATCACTGATGCTCAATTAGCGTTACACAGGGGACACGTGTGGTAGACAACAGACGCGAACAACATTGTCCCCGCTGTTAATTATTATTATTATGATTATTATGAACATTATGATTATTATGAACATTATGAACATTATGAACATTATGAACATTATGAACATTATGAACATTAT